TATGTATCAGGCATTGTGGAAGCTTTTGGGGGCTACAAGCCTGGATAAATAGGGTCTCTCCCCTCAAGTTACTCTCAGATCTAGAAAAGATTATTTTATCTTTGTACCATCAGACTTGCTTTTTTGGTCCACAAACCCATTTTGCAAGAGGATCAGCTCTATCTCTCCATCCACCTCAGTCCCTTTTCTAAGATGTAGTCCCACTGACTCCCAGCTTGCCATAATATGACAAGTTTGGGCCAACCCAGGGTGGTCTATGCCCATGAGTTTGCACTGACCTGTTCTGTCTTAGAATATGGTGCCACATTTACCCTCATGGGTGTGCCCATGAAGACTTCACTGCCTTTATTCCAGACAATGCCTGCCTCACACCCTCATCCTTTATTGCACCTATAAGCAACCACACCCACACCAGAATTGCTCTTAACACAAGATTTTTCAGACTTTTCTAGATGATGTTCCCCGAGTAATCACACTCATACTTTCCTTGTTTCTTTTTTTTTTTTTTTTGAGGCAGGGTCTCACTCTGTCATCCCAGGCTGGAGTTCAAGGGCGCAATCATGGATCACTACAACCACGACCAACAGGCTCAAGCCATCCTCCCAACTCAGCTTCCTAAGTAGCTGGGACTACAGGTGTGCACCACCATGCCTGGATAATCTTTATATCTTTTGAAGAGACAAAGTTTTGTCGTCTTGCCTAGGCTGGTATTGAACTCCTGGGATCAAGTGATCCACCCACCTCAGCCTCTCAAAGTACTGGGATTACAGGTATGAGCCACCATGCCTGGCCCACACTGGTACTTTTCAAATCAACTGCTACTTCCAAATTAACGACCACTATGTGTTAGTAACAATAATATGAGATGCCATTTATTGACTATTTGTTGTCTTCAACACCCTGTATTAAACTCATGGCATACGATGTCCAAAGTAGTCCTTACACGTACACATCCAGTGTCTAAAGTAATCCTTACAATAACCTGGAAAGACATCCTTTCAAGGAATCTGGGTCATGGCATCAATCCTTATTTGTATTGCACACTGTTTATAGAGGACACAAACTTTTCATTCTCATCTATATTGCAGGCCCACTGACCTTGAGGATCTCAGATATGGGCCTCTTACGCATCACACACAAGTCATGGGAACTAGGAGGACTAGCTCTGGGTCTCCCTGCCTAACCTTCGCAAACATCCTGTATTCAACGGGAGCCACAGTCGCATGTTGACCGGCAGCCCTCTCACTAGGTGGTCCCCCCAGAATTCAAATAGGAGGAAGGGAACAGGTGGTAGGGCATCAGCGCCCTCTTGTCCTCCAATCCTTTACCTTTTACTTCTTTCCTCAATCTATCTGCCCCACCTTCCTCCAGGTAAGAGTCCCTGGGTCCCTCTGAGTGACCTCATAAGCATTTTCACCCAAGTTCTCTCTGACTCTTGCCTCCACTAGCTGGCCTCCTCCTTCCCATGGTGCAAGGGCTCCAACCATTTCCTATATAATAGGATAGTCCCTTAAAACTTATATTTTCTCCTTTCAATACTGTATCTTGGCTCTTGGTATGTTAAGAAGTATGAGTGGAATTAAGATAAACATTTTCTCTTTCAACACACCCTAGTTTCCAATGTAGACTCAACAAAATCTATTGGAAACCAAAAAGTGAATGCTGATCTTCCTGATCTAAGTGTCCCTGAAGAAATTAATGTCTTGGGTAAATGAGTTGCCCTTTAGATAACATAATTTATGGAGAACAAAAATACATTGGTATAACATACTTTCCAAATATTATCCCAGGGTCATGAACACTCATAGTACAAAGAGGTTAAAGCTACATTCATTCCTTTCTGCCTCAAAAAAATATCAAAAGTAAGCAGTCTTCAGAAAGAATAAAATGCAATTCATCACCTTCTGTCAGCACCTACCTTCCTGGATGCCAAGGGGAAGATGGAGGAGGTAGATATGCATCTGCCACCACTCTGACTTCCCTTCTACTCCCACCCCAACTCATTTCATTTTCCCATTATCTCCACCTAACCTGTTGTTATTTCTATTATTGTACTCCAAAAATTGTCTGATTCACTCCTTTCTCCAGGTGATGCTTTTGTCTTTTTGCCTCAACATCATTATTCTTACATCAGGCCAGGAGTCTGTATTTTTAAGTTAAGAATGATTGACAAAGCCTGTTATTGTTTCTTTATTACTAATGACATACTTATTAATTGATATTTAACCATTTCTGGGCAGTGTGGATGAATCAAATTTTGGATAATGGGTATCTGGAAATGTATCTATACTTTCTAGTATTCATTGTGTTTAAAATAGGCATTTTCAGTGTTTTCACACTAAAGTATTCTTTATAGAATGTTACATTAAGGTATAACATGAGGAACCTCTCTGTTTTCCAGATGGTGAAATTAAACCACTTGCTCAAGGTGGCTCAGCTAGTAAGTGGCACAGCCATGATTCAATCTGTCTTACTCTACCTATAATCTGTGTCCCTAAGTACTAAGATAGACTACCTCCCTATAAATCAGACCCTGCTTTATGCCTACAGTGCTATTCTTTGGGACAGCAGGGCAGTTTGCTTCACAGCCAGAGTACTAATACAACAATACAATAAATGACTACCTGCAGAACATCCTGTGCCTTTCTTAGACGTTACTCTCTCAACACACCCTCCACCATAAAGCCAATTAGAAATAACAGTCTGGCAGAATCCTGCAAATTTCAATCTCTAGACCATGTATCAGCAGACAAAAAATGACCTGTTGCAAGGATGTCCTAAGCAAGTAAAAAGTCTTCAGAGGACTGGGCGTGATGGCTCACGCCTGTAATCCCAACACCTTTGGGAGGCCAGGATGGGCAGATCACAAGGTCAGGAGTTTGAGATCAGCCTGGCCAATATGGTGAAATCCTGTCTCTACTAAAAATACAAAAATTAGCCAGGCATGGTGGCACGCGCCTATAGTCCCAGCTACTTGGGAGGCTGAGGCAGAAGAATCACTTGAACCCGGGAGGGAGAAGTTGCAGTGAGCTGAGATCGCACCCCTGCATTCCAGCCTGGGTGACAGAGTGAGACTCTGTCTCAGAAAAATAAAAAATAAAAAAAAACTCTTCAGAACAGAGCCTCATCTGGCATTAACTTCAGCCCAAAATTCTCAGCAGCAGGTCCCTGGAACCCATCTCTGCCAAATTCATGGTGTTCAATGGTGAGTCTTTGAGTTATGCATTTGATGTGTTGACTCATTTTATTTTCCCATTATCTCCACTTAACCTGCTGTTATTTCCATTATTATACTCCAAAAATTGTCTAAATCCTCTCTTAGAATGAGGGGGTAGATAAACATTAACCAGATCAGCCTAGACTGCTCATAAAAAATTCTAGTAAGTGCAAACTTAGTGTTAGAGTTAGGAAGCGGCAACCCCATTCTGTAATATTCCTTCCTTGGTAGTTGAGTGCCATTGACCCACCTGATAAAGCCCAGACCCCTCCTGAGCTGGAAGCAGGGCAGAGCTCATGGGGACAATGTCAGAGGCTGCAGAAGATTCCTAGATATGGTGGGAAGAAACTTACAGGAGACTTACACTGACCACCCCATGACTGAATCTGTCCTCCTGCCTATTGACATATTAATGCAGACAGCTTCCTTCAGGGAAAGGGCTATCAAAACTCTTACATGTTTCTCAGTGTCTGCCAATGGGCTCAATTCTAGTCCCTAGGAAGCAGCATGGAACATTGGAAAGATAAGAGATTTGAAACTAAATCACAGTATCAAGTCTTACTGGTCATGTGACCTTGGGAAGTTACTTAAAGTCTCAGACCTTGTGTTACCGTATCTATAAATTGAGTTAGTACTACCTTCTTGCAGGATGTCATAAAGAGCAAATGTAAATGAACCTGGTTCTGTGTAGAGATTGGTTGACAGTAGATAGAGTGTGTCCATTACCCTGTTGCTGCCCTTTCCAGACAACCTGGCCCCAACTCTGCCTTGTAGGCTATGGACTGAAATACTTACTACTAATCCCGGTCCTTCACACTGCCTAGGTTGCATGTCTACTCATCTTTCATTTATAAAAAGACTAACATTAGAACAAATGAGTGTGTGTCTGTGTGTGTGTGTGTCTTTTTTACTACATTGTGCCAGTTGACTGAATAGGTTAAATTCTTTATGCATTAACAGAGGATGAGGGCAAGGGCAATTATGTGGTTTGGTGTTCATTGAACACAAGCCAGACCTTAAGCTAGAACCTCTAACTTCTGTTGAAGGACCTACTACACGCTGATACTTTTAATACACTCCCTCGTTTTATACACACAGCGCCCCTGGAAAACTGATTGTATAGACTGAAGCGCAGAGGAGTTAAATTTATCTTGCATCAAGAAAACAGCAGACTGGGAGGTCAAATCTGATCTCCTTCGCCTGTGTGCTTTCCCAGACAATGTTCTTCATTTTAAAATATTATGTGCTACATGAAATGTCTTAATTTAAAATAGTATAGCAGGTCTCAAATGCATTCTGTTATACTAACCCACGCATAAGGAGGAGTTGTTAGGCAAATAAAATCAGAATCATCCTGCATTTAAGGAATTCACGAAGTACATTCCTTTCAGAATAAATGTCGAGAAAATATGTTGGCACTGTCAAACATAAAAATGTGAAGACGGGGGGAAAAGTGAAAACAGTAAGAATTGCTGCTGTTCACTGTTTCTTGAGAGATTCGGAAATGTAAATTTCACAGCAAATTTGGTGTTTGTAGAATTTGTTATTCGGTTTTCTTCTTGCTGTGTGTGCTAAAGTTAATTTCATATCCCCAAAATGTCCCAGATCAGTGTGTAGAAATGGTTCTCAAAACTTGATTTTGTGGAAACATGTGTGTTAATAAACTTATGTAAATCCTGTTAAGGAGGATGTGAGGGCAATTGTGTTAAAATACACCTTCCTCTGGTGGTTGGAATGTAAAAGAATGCCAACTTGGTCATCAAATGATGAAAGATTCACTCACCCTTTCATGTTCTCGTGTATGGTGTGTCTGGGCAGTGAGTCTGGTCAGGGTCTGAAGAACAAGTAGGTAGGCTGTCATCAGAATCTGGGGGTCAGGCAACTGTTGGAGCCTGAGATTCAAGTTGGGGGTGGTGGGCCAGAAAGACAGAGAGGCAGGATGACACCAAGACCCATACTGGGAGGTCACAGGAGACGCCAAAGTCACACAGAGTGGTCAGAAGACAGCAGCCAATGTCCCTGGAGACAAAGCACAGGAGAAAATCACTATGTGTACCAGCAAATCTTTCAGCAGACCACTCTCAACCAGAGCAGTGTTTACCCCAGCATACGAAGGTACTACCCCAAACATGACATTCTGAAAGTTACGTTGTTCTAGGCATACTAGGCACACACTGTGAATAAAATGACTTCAGTATCATCCCCTGGGCCACCCTGCCCAAGACAATGGCAATTTCATCTACCCTTTACATCACTTTTCTATTTATTCTGTTTATCACATTCTATTACACTTACCTGCCAAGTATCTCCAGAATCCCTTCTCTCTCCTTCTTTCTTTCTGCCATGGTCCTTGTCACATCCTGCCCAGATTAGTTTCCTATGAGCAGACTTCCTACTGCTGTTCTGATTTATACTCCCCTGGGATCCTCACCTTTAATCATATTATTTCTTTGCGTAGAGACTCAGAACATACGCTCTACAGCCCTTTGCTGCTGAGGTTCATTCTGGTGCTGATACGGATGAGATGCCGTGTTCCTGGCACTACCACAGGGACAGACAATACTTCTTCCCCCAAAGAGTTCACCATGTTTTGAAGGATGAAATCCAGATTCATCTCCTCCCATTCAACCCTGTTCACATAATATTCCTACCACAGCATATTCATCCATAGTCTTTAATACCTGCTGGCCTCTTTCTATTATTCCTCTGCTTGTCAAACTCCTATTCATCCTTAAATACCTAACTCCCTAATTACCTTGTGCATAAAATTTTTCCCAGTTCCCTAAACAGAATTTGCTCCATGCATATTTCCAGACCCCCTCTCTCTATGGAGCATTAATTGGAAACCCCATTAATTATGAATATTTCCTTAAAACTTGTTCTCTACTACTGGACTGCATCAGTTTCTTAAGTGCAAGAATCATATTCTGCCCACATTCGCGTTGCCAAAAACCAAGCAGAGTGCTAAAATACATCAGGCATATAAAACACAGCTTTGAAAATTAGTTTGCTAACTAATGCAAGAATGCAGACAAGGTTTGGGAAATCAGATTGAAATTGACACAAAATAACCACACTCACATCTGTATTTCACTTAGTGTACTGAATATTACAGATGGAATGCAAGGGAAAACACCCACAATGTTTGCGGGGGAAGGGTGGGTGGGAGTCTTAGGAATGCAGCAACCATATTTCTAAATGACTTGAGAGGAATTTTTACATAAATTATTTTCTCCAAAAATATTCAAATCATATTTCTAATTCTTATCGGCAAATTCATCTATTCCTGCCTCCTTAATCTCTTCGTTGACCTGCTGTTGAATTGATTTTTATTAGATAATTTTTCCTTATCTAATTAAAGCTGTATTTCAAGAGGTGGGAAGTGGGTCCAGCTCTCCCTCATCTCCTGCACTATGCTGTGAACATCCCCCAGCAACAAGAGCTTGGATACCAGAGGCGGAGAGAAAGTCAATAACAGACAGCAAGGAAAGAAGCCGAGGCATTGATCATCTCATCAGACTTAGGACTTGAGACAAAGCCACATTATTCAACATCACATTAACTCTGCTTGCGCTGGAAGGGAGAAACACTTTTAAACAGGTTCAGGTTGCAAACATGGGCTACATTTTAAAGCAATTTAACCTAATCCAGGGTTTCTAAACCTTAGCATATGTGACATTTTGGACTGGATAATTCTCTGTCCTGTGCATCATGGGATGTTTAGCAGCACCTGCGGCCCAACCTACTAGACGCCAGTTGCAACCACAGTTGTGACAACTAAAAATTTCTCCAGGCATTGTCAAATGACCCCTGGCAGGGGCACAAAACTGACTCCTCGTTGAGAACCCCTGATCTAACCCACCACAAACAAACAAAAATGCCTCCAACTCCATAAAGAAAGCTGCCTTTTCAAATGCTTTAATTATAAAATGTAGAATGGTGTCACATTTATATTTGCACAAAAGATGTTGCACATACTATCCTAGAGATAACCCCTAAACTCCTCTGACAGAACATGGAGCAGAACCTGACATAACCTCAGTCAACTGAGGTCTATTTTCGGAGAGCAGCTGAGGCAGTTTGCCATGGCAGGAGGCTTTTCCTTCTTTGATATTTCTGGAGGGCATGCTGCTGCATGCTCTGCAGCCAAATCAGAAGCGAATAACATGATTTCTGTTTTAAACATAAAGCAAAATTCAAAGGAATGTTTTTTACCTGAAAAAGCAGGCTGCAAGAATCCCTGATTTACAATGGGAGTCCTCAAACACCATGTGACTGATTCAGCCCCCCTTCAATCCACTGTGCCTGAAATCAGTGAAAATCAGACAAAAGGCCCAATTAACATCAATTCAACAGAAAAAAAAATTATCTTTTAAAAACATAATCTTTTTATAAATTATCCAGGCCTTAATTTCCTCACCTTTAAAATCAGGTCATAAGACCTGTTTCATAGATTTACATAGAAACTAAATGAGACATTGCACATGAAGGCATCAGTTGGCACTTGGTATGCATTTTAATAACTGCTTAAGGCTAGGCATGGTGGCTCACGCCTGTAACCCCAGCACTTTGGGAGGCCGAGGCAGGCGGTTCACCTGAGGTCAGGAGTTTGAGAACAGCCTGACCAACATGGCAAAACCCATCTCTACTAAAAATACCAAAAAATATTAGCCGGGTGTAGTGGCATGTGCCTGTAGTCCCAGCTACTTGGGAGGCTGGGGCACCAGAATCACTTGAACCTGGGAGGCAGAGGTTGTAGTGAGCAGAGATTGCACCACTGCACTCCAGCCTGGATGACAGAGCAAGACTCAGTCTCAATTAAAAAACAAAACAAAACAAAACCCTAAATAAGCAATTTTAATTTTTTTAAATCAGTTTTTCTGGTATCAGGTAACAGCTAAAACTAGAATTTGTTTTCTTCTTTTTGTAGAGATGGAGTCTCACTATGTTGACCAGGCTAGCCTTGAACTCCTAGGCTCAAGCAATCCTTCCGCCTTGGCCTCCAAAAGTACTGGGATTACAGGTATAAGCCATAACACTGTGCCTTAGAATTGGTTTTCAACCTCCTCTTGCCTACCTGAACAATCCAAAGCATTGAGAAAATAAAAGTTGGACACAAATTAGGACACGAATCACTTACTAATGTGTGTACTTTTGTGCCTCAAGAAAATACAAAAGGTATTGAACAAATGTTTTGCGTAAAATAATCTTCTAAACCTAACTTCTTAAAATTTAACAAGTATTGGTCTCTAAGCTGGTGACTGGCCTGACATTTCATCTCCTAAAATCATTTAGCTTACAAGATGTATTACTTTAAATAATGGCAATTTTATATTGTATTTGTTTATTAATATACTGTTCTCAAACCCATAGCAAAGGGCCTGTTTGTTACAAGGTTTATGGAATAGAAAATAAGAACCAAGAAAATAAAGACAATTTGATATGGGAATCAATGGGATCCTTTTTTTTTTTTTTTTCTCATTTTAGAACAATGATAAAGTACCTAATTTTCTATTATAAAAGATGTGTATGCTTATTAGCATATTTGTAAAACATAGGTAGCATCAATTAAAAAATTGAAACAATCTTCAGTCCTAGATTATATGGTATATGATATTATTTTAGAGTATCTAATTCAAAGAATGGCAATTTTTAAAAACTATTTATTTATTTATTTATTTATTTATTTGGAGATGGAGTCTCGCTCTATTACCTAGACTGGAGTGCAGTAGCGCAATCTGGGCTCACTGCAACCTCTGCCTCCTAGTTTCAAGCAATTCTCCTGCCTCAGCCTCCCAAGTAACTGGGATTACAGGCACCTGCCACCATGCCCAGCTAATTTTTGTATTTTTAGTAGAGACAGGGTTTTATGTTGGCCAGGCTGGTCTCGAACTCCTGACCTCAAGCAATCTGCCCATCTTGGCCTCCCAAAATTCTGGGACTACAGGCATGAGCCACCATGCCTGGCCTCAAAAAATGGCAGTTTTAAACATTCAAAATCACATTTCCTTTCAACAAATATTGATACTCATCAAATGTATGGAAAATAAATCAAAACTAGATCTAGAAGAGCCTATTTTTAATGCACAGACATCAAATAAAAATAATCATGCTAAATAGCTGGATGGGGGGAGGTGGGGGCAGGGTTGAGGCTGAAACAGGCACCAAGCCAAGTCTTAGACATAGACTTTTTGGTGTTTTACAGTGTGTTATATTGTGATCTATCCTTCATGGCAATTTTTATTATTCCATCTTCCAGATGAAGAAAATGAAGTTGAAAGATAGTAAGTAACTTGAACAAACTTACACGCCTAGTGGAGCTGGGATTGGAGCCTAGGCACTCAGACTCCAGAGCCCATGAGGAGTGATGCCTCTGTAGACGTCAACAGTGAGTACAGAGAACTGCGAGTTTCTCTCCACTAAGTTAGCACTGAGGCAGTGACTGAGACCAGTCCTGTGAAAACATGACCACCTAAGGATCATGCTGATTTCAGTGCCCAGCAAATATGTCTCAAGCTAAAACCATCCGATTTTCCCATAGAACTAATATTTATGATTTTTGAATAAACATAGAAATTGACCCTCCCTTGTCTTAAAACTTGAAACTTACATTTGTCTCACCTGAGTTCCTTCCTCAAGAAACTGACGCTCAGGCAAGGGAATGAAACTCATCAGATTTTGTGAAACTCATCAGATCACCACATCCAATGAGATGCCAGTTTCCTCATCTATCATGATTGCTTTCTTACCTGTCCCTAATTCCTGTTTTCCTGCTTTCCTTGCTATATAAATCCCCCAATTTTCATAAGCTGGGGAGACAGATTTGAGAATTTATCTCCCCTTCTCCTTAACTATAGCATCTGATTACAGGTGACTAAAGCCTTCTTCCCTGGCAATACTCATTTGTCTCAGTGATTGGCATTCTGTGCAGCAAACAGCAGGGCCTAGATAGAACCTTTGGAGTATCGGTAACAAATCTGGCCCTGGGTAATGAAAACAAAAATCATGAAACCTGAGTTTCTCATAGACAAGCCTATCTTCCCCATAGATAAGTCACCAAACAGGAAAATCAAATGGACTCCTCTTTCTAAAAGATTCTTCTCAGTTGGAGATTTCTAAGTAGGTCATTCTTTTGAATTGACTCCACAAAGTGTACAGACCCTTTATTATTCTATGCAGGATGTTGGATGCATTAGGGCTCAGAATTTTTTGGCAATGAAAAATTTGTTCTAAACCAAAAGAGTACGTCAGTCATGAGCCTCTTAAGAACCTTGTAATGCCAAGATCCAATGGAATCTAATTTTAAGATAACAATTTCCATAGTCAACCCTAAAACAGTATCAATAACCAATAAATATTAACTTATCAATATGTCATATGCATGGATGCTCAAATCTAAAAGACGAATGCGTCTCAAAGTTAAAGTTTCAACCCAGACTTTTGCCAAAGCACCTATTAGACAAATAGCATGCACCATGATAGGCACCAGAAATTCAAACATAAATCAAGGTAGAGTTCCTGTCTTTACCGCTTATCACGGAAGATGATATGCAAATGAGTATCAATAGTAAAATAACCCAGAATGATAAACGTTATTGTAAAATATGTGCAACATTATAAGGGATCAGAGAGGGGTAGATCGATTAATTATTCATGTCAAGAAGCATGAAGAATTACAGAAAGGAAATGGCATTTGAGCAGAGTCTTGACAGATGGGGAGGAGCTTGCCACACAAATGAGTAATAGTACAGTTATGTTGGAGTTGGGGTAAACAGTTCTACCTTCCTTGAAAAGAAATATATGGAAAGGAGAGTCCAGACACGGGACTTGGCACATGGGCTGAGGCAAGGATGCAATGACCCAATTCAAACATTTTCGGAAATACCCTAACAATAATAATGAGAGGCATCAGAGGAGCTCAATGCCAGGAATAAGAATGAACCTATCTGAGTTAGAATGAACACAGTGAAGGCAGGGGACTCAATTAGAGAAAGAAAAATAGGGACAGAAAGACCAACTAGAAAGCACCGTTACCATATTTCAGGAGGGAGTTAAGTCTCAGGGCACAACAGATAAACAAGTAGGGGGTGCTGGAAGTTGCTGAAAGAAAGAAATCAGGGAGATAAGGGGACACCCCACAAGAGAAATTGGATGCTCACTGGCCCTTTGAAAATTGCCAAAAATAACTCCATATTTCACAAGTATACCACGGGCCTCTATACACATCGTGTATAAAATGGGGACACACCATATTAATGTCAATAGAAGACTTAGATGCCACCACATTAGACAAGGGCCCTAATCCTCAGGAGCATCAGTGCTCTGCCAGACACTGCACTGGATATTTTGCACAAGAAATGTACTCCAGGAGCTTGCTGGTGTTCTCACCCACTGGCAAGGTGGGCCATCCACCTCTCGCATGGGCTGGCCCTAGGGATCCATCAAGAACAGCCTCATTTTACTGTTTCTCTCACCCAGCAGCAAAATGAATCACTCTTTTTGTGGCAGCAGCCCTACAAATCAATTCACTTAAAACTGACTCTGCTAAAACAACACACAAGCCAAGGGTTTCGGGTCTCTTTTCCTCCCAATGGTTTGCACAGATCAAAAACTGCTCCAAGATTTCTAAAGAGAAGAGCTCGGGCTCCCCCCGCCCAGCACCAGTCTGGGCTTGAATGAGACCAGACCACCCTGGGGGCAACTGAGATGCTCCTGAAATGTCAGAGGCAGCACTGCAAGCCTCTGATCCTCCACCACCTTCTGTGCTATGGATATTGATTTCAGACACTGTTACAGGGCATAACTCCAAGTCTGTACCTTTACAGCTTGTCATTTGGGCCAGCCTTTCACAAGGGACTTTGCACCAGCAGCCTTGTGTCTGGTACTTTTGAAGCAGAACCAAGCCTTCCGAGGCTTGTTTTTTCACTCCATGAGGTTTGATCAATGACACAGCCAGACATTTTCATTATTTTGACAAGCATATATAGAGCGCTCAGACCAGGAGACAATGGAAGGCCTCCAGTCATTGGTGTGCACAAGAATTAAGAAGAATAAAAATGTCAACATGCTCTGATGTCTCCATCTTGACACTTTTGAGGACGCTGTTATCCTTTTGAGACAGTCTGCATTTATCGAACAGACATGTGTTACACACTGCCACAGATTTTGGGGTGGGAAAGAGAAGAAGATGAGCAAGGGAAGTCCATGACTTAAAGAAATTTGCAATGCAGTTTCTTTAGAAAATTGATTGAAAAACAGATGTGGCTGTAAATGCTACAAGAAAGCAAATCGAAGTGGATGGGGAA